GCCTCCCGATTTGTCCCTTTTGGTGATTCACTCTTCAGCTGTGTCTAATCTACAGACCACCCACCACTTTGGAGCGGTTTTCCCATCATTCTTAGCTCTCCAGTTTCTACGAGGTTACTTCCCGGTCTCTCATCTCACTGTTCATTTTCTCTGCTGAGACGTCAGCTCGTTTTCATCTCCCTGGATTCAGGAAGCAATTCTTCGGCAGCATGTTACTTGCAGCTTTTGTGGTCTGTCTCTGGTATTTATTATTTCTTCTAGCTATCACTAATGGCTTTTCCAAATCGCTTCAAGTACCTAATTATCATTCTTACACATGAAAAAAAAATTTTAACGCCCCTTGCATTTATTTATTTATTTATTTATTTATTTATTTATTTATTTATTTATTTATTGTGTGTATGTGTGTGGGAATGCTCGAGCCACAGCGTGTATGGGGATGTGGATGTCAGGGGACAAACTCTGGAAGTCACTTCTTTCCTTCCACTGTGTAGGTTCCAGAGATCAAACTTAGGTCTTTAGGCTCGGCGGCAAGTGCCTCTACGCACTGAGCCATTTTGTTGGCCCTTGTTAGACATCCGTGGAGAGCTAATTGAGGTCTAAAGTAATTTCATCAGCCTCCAAAAACAAAGTTTGTACTTCCAAGCTTACAGGGCACCAGCAACTTAGAATGACCAGATTTTATGACTGCTCAAAGTACTGGACGCGCTTCCTTTTGGGAGGCTGACTCTTGTGGCGTGGGCTTCATGCTTTGCCATGTACTTTGTCCTGGACCATGCATGAGACATGAACGCAAGATGAAGCTGAGTGAACCACACCATCATTGTGAGAAGCAGGAATCTTTTGAATTCCATAAAACAATAAAACCCAAGGCCATTGAGGCTCAGTGGGTAAAGGTGCTTGCCATCATGTGTAAGGACATGAGTTTAATACTTGGAACCTACTTGGTTGAAGGAGACAATTGACTACTGTCAGGTGTCCTCTGACCTCTACATGTGTATCACAGACACACACACACACAGACACACACAGAGCAGGAAAAAAACCCATCATATTGTGTAGTTAGGAAATAAGAGCAATCAATCAATACTAGTCTGGATACCAAAAAATGAGCACGCTACGGCATCTCTTAAGAAGATGCAGAGAATGCCTCGTGGCACACATCTTTAGTCCCAGAACTAGGGAAGCAGAGGCAGGGGGATTTCTGTGAGTTCGAGACCAGCCTGATCTACAAAGTGAGTTTGAGTTTGTACAGCCAGGGCTATACAGTGAGAGCCTGTCTCAAAAAAAAAAAAAAAAAAAAAGAATGCAGAGAATGTAATAGATTTTGTTGTTCCTGGAATATGCACAATGTAGAAAATAGGTATTTCTGTGAAGAAGCATATTTGAACATTGGTTTAAAAAACCATGACTACAGGCAGCAACCTCAAAGGTCATGATTATATACCTATACCTATGAGGGTTAGACAACTCACTACCTCAGGTCAGACTAGTGTGTTCTTGTTATTTGTGGAAACATTTTAAAATGGGCATGATGCCCATGCTTTAACAATATTGTATCTTAAACAGACATGAAAGGGTGCACGTGAGTACTAAAAATACAGCGACACACAGAATAGCTAGACCTGGGAGGAGCCTTCATGAAACTAGTTGAATGAGAACTAAATCATCTTTCTAAATGAAAACACACTTTTTATATCATTTAAGGTATCTATGCATACACAAAACACTAATTACTGAAGGCAGATATATTTTTATAGCTCCCTGAGTTTTATATTCATGTTAGGAAATGGAAAGTCTGTTACTCGAATGAAACACTATTAAATAAACGGGACCCCCTCTTTATTCATGGAAACTCCTTTATTTTACTAAGATGTGTGTGAGTGTCTGTGCCGTTCTCTAGGGAGGCAGGGAAGCCATGAGGGGAGGCTGAATTCTGAGACATGTGTTGGGGCGTCAAGAAGTAGGCCCTAGGACTCAAGGCAGAGGATGCAAAGGGAGCAAGCTTGGCCTCTTGGAGCCCCAACATGCAGTTTCATATGAGCAGGGGGAGAATGACATGCCAATCAAGTGCCCAGCTCTGCACGCCCAGTGGAAGGGCAGTAGGGAGCCCCTGAAAGTTGTAAGAGCTGGAGCGTCGGCTCAGATTCCTGCTTCTAAAATAGGATGAGCAGGGCTGATGAGCAATAACAGGAAAAGACAGACAGAAAGAAAATAGTCAGGAGAACTTAGCTTAGTGGAGAGAGAGTTGGGAAGAAACAGCCGGAAGGAAGCCGCCAGGACACATTTGAAAAACATTCACGCAACAGAAGAGGAGAGTTCGTTTTTTTAAGGGGCTGTCTTAAGTGGGTAAAAACAAAAACAAAAACAAAAACCAAAGAGACCAGAAATAGCAGTGTGAGGTGGAGCACAACTTCAAAAGCTACATAGAAATGTTAAGACACCGGCAGAGTGGAAGGTGCTTAAAATATGAGGACAATGACATGAAAACAATCACCGAAGAGCAAGTTCCAAAGGCCAGGTGTCGA